GACATCTTCAAGTTGACAAGGTTGAGAAACACTGCCATAGGGATATTACATCTTCAGTGAGGGAAGTAAGCAGTGGGGTACCACAAGGTAAGTCTTAGGCCCAGGACTCTTGAACATCTTTATAAATGACTTAAGATGAGGAGATAGAAAGGGAACTCATCAAAATTTACAATCGACACTACTGGCAGGAATAGTCAACATCCCAGAAGACAAACTTGGGACCCAAAAGATCTGGACAGACTCGAACCCTAGGCCCTATCCAACAATATGGAATTCAACATGGAGAAAAGCAAGGTTTTGGAACCTTGCTAGGCCCTATCCAACAATATGGAATTCAACATGGAGAAAAGCAAGGCTAAAGGCACAAGTACAGAGTGGGCGGAAGCCGGCTCAGAAACGGTAACTGCAAGAGGTGCCTTTGCGTCCTAATGGGCGGCTGCTTTAAATGTGAGCCAGCCACGTGCGCCAAAAGCTGAAAAAGCTAAATAACGACCCTTGCTCGTCAAAACAAGAGGCACAGAATCAAAATCACGCAAAGTGTTAGTACTGTTAACTCGCGTCGGTTTGGGACCCTGACAAGGACATCGGTTAAGGGGGTTAAGTGAGTTTTGCCCCATTTCATGAACTTTCTTTCCACGGTTGTTGGGTGAATCGCTGCAGTTGTGAAGTTGTCAAGTGAACCTGGCTTCCCCAATGACTTTGCTCATCGGAAAGCCACCAAAAGGGAATCGTGTGACTCTAGGACTCTGCGACTCTCCTGCGACACAGGAGTCGGTTGCCAAGCATCTGAATTTTGATCAGGTCACACGGGGATGCTATTATGGCTGCAAGTGTGAAAACTGGTCACAAGTCCCTTTTATTTCTGGTGCCATTGTAACTTGGGGAGCTTTGCTAAACCAAAGGTTGCAAGTCAAGAGAAAACTTGAATTCTGATTGCAAAGAGATGACCAGAGCTGCCTCGGTTCCCTGCTGCGCACGTATGTAAACGCTCTTATCGTGGGTGCACAACTTCATGCCTGTTCATGCACCGAAGAAACCAACAGGTTTGACCTGCCTTACAACCTCTGCGGCTCACCTGACATTCTGGGTTTCAAAAAAAGGTAGAGAGGCTGCGTCGCCGCGTAGCTTAATGACTACACGTGGGAAAAGCTAGCTGGGAAAAATTCAACACAGGGGAGGAGGAGTTGCAAAAAGCTTGCGGCATTGGGTGTGATGCAGCTACCCCACAATGGGTTAGAACAGACTATTAGCTATGTCGCAGCGATCAGGGTAACCAACTAATCGTGGCATGGATAGAAGAGTTTTTAAGCTCGGAGTTGAAATTCAGGGGCCCTTGGTGCTCTCTGAGCTGGGTGGCTTCCTTGCAGGCGTTTTGTGACCCAACTAAGGAACAGAATCAGTGCTACAAGGGAATTGGGATGCGGAGAGGAGGAGGAAGACTCTCCAAGCTTAGTGGTATCCTTGCAGACATCTCGTTAGTAGGTATCTAGGTGACGTCATCAGTGCTAACATTGGTGTTGGTAGAAGGCAAAGGGAAATATATGTTGTTTTGGAGGGGATAAAGGCACAATTGGAATATATTGTATATCTTTTAGTTGTTATAGAAGAAGAAATATTGTTGTAATATGGCTCCTTGTGTAGGTGTGTGTCCTCCATGGCCTAGTTGATATTAAGGCCTGCAGAGCCACGCTCAATCACACAGGAGACAACTGGCTCCAAGAAAGCCATAACATCCTGATAGTGAATAACATAACATCCTGAGATGTGCCTCACCAATGACGCCCAGGATTTGACCATATATAGAGAGAACTTTCCTGAAGCAGTAGATTAGAAATTGTACTTTTACAGGCTGTTTTCTATCACATGTTATTGCTCCTCCTGCCTTTGTCCTGTCTCAATAAAAGGGGCTACGAGACCCCCAATCTGGGTCGCTCCATCCCGAGAAAATTTGTCTCCTGTCTTTTCTCAACATTGGCTTCATGGGCGAACAGCGGAAACTTCACAAAATATAAGGGTGAAAAAAATGGTCTCTGGGGTGTGGGGGTGCACTATAATATTTGGGGCTTTTTTGCCTTCTTCTTTTCTCTTTCTTTTTTTGTATTCACTATGTTTGCATTATTTGTACTTAAAAATTTAAATAAAGTTTTTAAAAAAACAGTTCTAACATTGGGTTCATTCATGTTTCTGTGGATAATGAAATTCTTCAAGAAAAACACCAAGGCCAGAGAGCATCAAGACCTCTCAGTCCTCCTCCTCCTCCCCCTCCCTTCAAGCACTGATGAAGTTTCCTAGTTAGGTCATGAAACATCTGCAAGAAAACCACCAAACTCAGAGAGCTTTTCTTCTTCCTCCCCATCCCCTCCCTCCCCCCTCCTCGACTCCACCTCCACAACCAACCAACCCACTCTCTTCTAGTACCAATGACATTCCCTAGTTGGGTTACAAGACGTCTGCAAAAAAACCACCCAGTTCAGAGAGCACCAAGGAACCCACAGTTCTCCTCTTCCTCCCAACCCCCTTCTAGCCCTAATGCTGTTCCCTAGTTGAGTCACAAAATGTCTGCAAGAAACCACCCAGCTAAAAAGAACACCAATGACCCTTGTTGTTAGTTGTGAAGTTGTGCCCGACCCATCACGACCCCATGGACAACATTCCTCCAGCCTTCCTGTCCTCTACCATCCTTTGGAGTTCATTTAAGCTCACGCCAACCACTTTGGTGATTCCATCCAGCCACCTCATTCTCTGTCGTCCCTTTCTTCTTCTTTTGCCCCCTCAATCTTTCCCACCTATCAGCCTCTGCCTTGCTGCTGCTTCGGCTGCCATTGAAACGGGGAGGGGGGGCATGGTATTTGGGAGGGGAATCATGATGTGCTGGAGGAATGTTCTAGAAGCTGTCCTGACCATCTCATTGCGCATGTGGAGGAAGGGAGTTTCCCCGCCAAGGTTAACTGTCCAGCATTCCAACCTGATGAGGTTTTTTGAAGATATCTCCCACCTGACAGATGGGTGAATTATAATTGGGCTATGGACTGGGGTGCCAAAGGGAGGGGACTGAACTATACATGATATTCTTTGCTTTCGCACCCAATTAACCAGACTCAGCTTAGCTACTATTCGTTTGCAATTAGTAAAAGTACACTTAATTTCAAACAAATGGAGTTGAGTGGTTTCTTTCCTGATTATTAAATGAAGCAGCACCTGAAAATAAGCTGAGTCTGTCCAGCATTCCACCCTGATGATGTTTTTTAGGCTCTTCTCCAGGGAGTCCTTCCTTCTCATTGACCCTACAGAAGACCCCAATGACCATACAGAAAGAGAAACTCAGATAAACAGGGATTAACCCCAGAGAAACAATCATGTGGACAACAATACTGCAATCAAGGAATTATCAAGGGAAAAAACCCACATTCCCACCACCACCACCAATGCCAGGGCAAGCAATTATACAGAAACCAAACCCCCCACCCCCATCCTTCCAGCACTGATGATGTTCCCTAGTGGGAACAAACAAACCACCAAGAGAGCACCAAGGACAAAGAAAGACAAATCCAGATAAGCATGGATTTACACCAGTCAAACCATCAGGGAGTAGTAACTCACAAGGGAGAAAACCAGGCTCCCTCTAGCTCTGCCAAGACAAGCAACTGTATATAAACAGAGACCAACCCCCCAACATTTCATTTAGTAACGGCTCAAAGTTATGACGGCATTGAAAAATGTGACTTATGACCCTTTTTCACAGTGACGAACTTTGCAGCGTCCCCACGATCAAAATTCAGACGTCTGGCAACTGGTTCATATTTATGACAGTTGCAGTGTCACGTGATCCCTTTTGCGACCTCACAATCCGCAGTCAATGGAGAAGCCAGATTCCCTTAACCACCCAAGACTGCAGGGACTCGATTAGCATCCTGGCAAGATATGTTGTAAAATTGGGCAAAATTCCCCAAGCAAGTCTCGCTTAGGGACAGAAATTTGGGGCTCAACTGTGGTCGTAGGTCAAGGTCTAATTGTATTCAGGGGGGTTGGGGAGATCTCAGGTTCCTAAAGAATTGAGAATTAAATCCAGTCTTCAAGGGCCCCAAAGAAAGCAAGTGTAGCTAGGAGGAGACGGGAAGAAAAGTAACAATGCAACACAGCTCCCCGTGCAGAAAAGCTCACAACTGGTTGCATAAATGACATTTCCCCAATCCAAGTGGTGCATCCCTAGGTTCAACTGGCCCCATAATCCACAGCCACCCCTCTCCCCCACAGACCAGAGGGCAGGAGGGTTAAGAAGACCTTAAGACATTATTGCTTTTGGTGGGACAACGATAATGACCCTCTCTAGATTTAAACACATGGGGGGAGACCCGTGCCCAGGTCCAGCTAGACCCATAATCCACAGCAATCCACACAATCCCACAGGGCAGGAAGGTAAAGACATTATGAATGGGGAGAGAAGGATGACCCTTCATCTGGGATTAAATATGGGGGGAAGAGGAATGACCCCGGGGTCCAGCTGGCCCCATAATCCACAGCCACCCCACTCTCCCAAACCCTAAAGGGCAGGGGGGTAAAGACATTATGACTTGGGGGAGGGGAGAATGAGTTTGCAAATTTAATAACATTTATATGCCGCCCAATGTAGGACTCCGAATCCCGAATGACCCCCATCTAAGGCTAAATATGGGGGGAGGTCCTGTTCCAGGTCCAGTTGGACTCATAATCCACAGCCACCCCTCTCTCCCAGCCCAAAAGGGCAGGAAGATAAAGACATTATGACGTGTGTGTATGTGGGGGGGAGAATGACCCTATCTCTGGCTAAAATAGGGAAAGGGGGCTGTCCCCGGGCACAGCTGGCCCCATCATCCACAACACCCTGCCCTCCTCACACCGTGGATGATGGGACCACCCGCTCTGATGAAAGAGGCCCTAACCTAATCCCAGGGAAGCCCTGAGGGGAGGGATATGCGAGGAGGAAGAGGGAGGGGGGATACAGGAGGGGGGTCGAGGGGAGGCGGGGTCAGAGGTCAAGGGTCAGAGGCCTCCCATTCTTTGTTTTTTCCCCTCAGGAATGAGAGGCCTCATTATTATTTTTCCTTTCCTTCCTATTTTTTCCTCAGACATGATAGGCCTCCTATTTTCTTTCTTTTTCTCATGGGAAATGAGGGGCCTCCTTTTCTTTTCTCTTCCTTTTTTTTTTACCTCAGGAACGAGAGAGGCCCTCCTATTCTTTCTTTCTTCTCCCTTTCATCTCCTTTTCTCCCCAACCCCGCCTCACCTTCTTGTAATGCTTAGCCAGCCAAACCCGGGCGGCTTCCAACTGCGAAGCCGTGTCGGCGCTTTCCCAGAATTTCCCGGCGGGGCCTCCGTCTTTCCGGCGGGAAAGCGACAAAGGGCCGGCGGAAGAAAACGACGACGACGACGAGGACGAAGAAGCCGAACCGGGCCCGCTGCCTCCGACGACGGTTCCAGGCCCCGACACGGGACTCGAGGCCGCCGTTACCGAGGCCGAGGCCGCCGCCATTGTCCTGCCGGGCCTACCGCGCCGTCGCCGCCGCCGTCGCCGGGGCCCCGCGCCGCCCACTTTCCTCGCTCCGCGCATGCGCGGCCGAGGAGGCGCCGCGGCGGCTACTGAGGCTGTTCGCTCGCCGTCGCTCTCTCTCTTTCTCTCCCTCTCTCTCGCTCGCTCTTTCCGCGCACGCGCCGCCTCAACGCCGAGCTCGCGACTGCTCCTCGGCCGGGGTTGCCTCAGGCCGAGGGGGAGGATCGGTGGAGCGCATGCGCCGACTGCCTAAAGGCACGCCCTCCAACCGCGAAAGCGCCTGCGCCGTACTCGCCGCCGTTGAGTTGTGCGCACGCGCGCTTTCCCCTCTTCACCCCTCCCCCCACGTTTGGATGGACAACCGGCCCGGCCGAATGGACAAGGGCCTTTCCCCCACACACCTTTTGCGCAAGCGCGGATTTAGGGGAGTGGACCGCGCCTGCGTGAACCGGGGAGAGATGGAGACGTCCGAGACCCCCGAAAGAGGGTCGGGGAGGGGCGAGGGGTCTGGCCTCGCCCACTCAGACCCAGTCGCGCCACGTGGAGGACGCAGGCTGGACTAACATGATCGGCTGGCCCATGGGAGTAATACAGTGATCCAGATACCCTGGCAAGGCACGCAGCCCCTCCTGGTGGTTCCTCTCTGCACGTGTGAAAGGGCTTGTATCATGCGTGTTGCTTTGATGTGTACAACCTCGGAACCTGATCAAGTAGCCAGAGATTTCCCCCCCCCTTTTTTTTTTTTGATGTGGCTGGTTTTAAAATTACAGGTAGTCCTCAACTTGTGACCGTAATTGAACCCAAACTTTCTTGTCGCTATGCGACACTTGGGGAGTTTCATACATTTTACTGTCTTCCTTGTCACCGTCGTTAAGCACTACAGTGATGAAATTAGTCTCCTGGTTGTTAAGGGAATCAGGCTTCTCGCCAAAGGGGATCACATATGACCCCACGACTGTCATAAATATGAGACAGTTGGGAAGCGTCTGAATTTGGACCATGTAAGCCTGGGGATACTGCAATGGTCGTAAGTGTGAAAAAGGGTTGTAAGTCCCTCCTTTTGGTGGCGTTCAGAGATTGGTCACTAAATGAACTGTTGTAAGTCGAAGACTAGCTGCAGGGAGCCCTTTTGTGAGGGAGGTAGAGCATAGGCTGGGAAACGTTTGGTAAATAAATTACTATGACAGTTGCTGCTAAATACAAGTAGTGCTCGACTTATGACAATTGAACCCACGTTCTTTGTTGCTAACTGCAACATTTGGTCAGGGAACTCTGCTCCATTTTACAACTTTTTGTGCTGCTGTTGTTCAGTGAACCATTTCAGTTCTTCAGTTGGCCATGGGGATGTCGTGTGAAAAGCGGTCATAATTCCTGTTTTTCAGTGCCCTAGTAACCCCATCACTAAATGGTTGAGATCCATTACCACTTCTGTGTATAGGACGGCTAAGGCTGTCTGGAAAACACAGGCCCAGAGATGGACGCTAACAAAAACATTCTTGTTAGCAATACGTAAGTCTTCCTATTAATTAGCGCGCCTTTCTGTACCAGCTTCTATCTAGCAGTTAGCGTTTCAAAGGTAGGAATGCGAGCTGCTCACTTTCCTCCCCTCCCCCCCTCCCTATTCCTTATCTCTCTTCTCCTGCCCAGGGAAGAAGCAGCCCCCCTCTTCGCTCACCCCCTCTTTTGCCCAGA